CCCGCTCACCGAAAAGCTGATCTCCTCCTCCAGGACCCGGTCCCCCACCACCTGGAAGAGATGGGTAGGAGGGGGGTGAGCTGCCATGGGATGGTGGCCGAGCCCCATGGAGCTGTGCCTGGGGGGTGCAATGGGACCCACTGACCCCATGGAGGGGGGGTCAGGGTGGGGGGACCGGCCCAGTGGCACCCACCTGGCAGAAGAGCTGGTGGTTATCCTCAGAGACGAGCAGGAGGCAGCAGCAGAGCGACTGGGTCTCCTGCTTCAGCTGGGGGGGCAGAGGGTGGGGGTCAGCACCCCAGCCTGCCCCAAGCCCCCCCGGCAGAAGCCGGCCCCTCCTCTGCCTCCCTGTGCCCAGGGTACCCGTACGTGCCACACAGAGCCAGGTGCCACCCTAGAACCTCTTCCCTGTGGCTGATTAGGTTCATTCTGGAGACTACTGATGGTGAGGGCAAAGCTGTTCACTCTGGACACTGCTGAGGGTTGTGTGCAGGACACTAGAGAGCAGGAGAGGGACCCATAGATTCTCTTTTGCAATTTCTGTGGTTAGGGTGGCACTGTTAACTCTGGACACTATTGATAGTTATTACAAGGCTGTTCACTCTGATCACTACTGATGGCTGCGTAGCTGACGTTTGAGATGTTTCTTTGTTTTAGGGGGTTTTCTTTTTTTTTTTTTTCTTTTTAAATAAAACAGGGCTCCCCAGTATGTCCTGGGGCTGAGGGCGAGGGGCGGCCAGGGGGGGCAACTACTCACATAGTTGATGACCTTGAGCTGGAGCGAGGCAGCATCCAGGTCGTACAGCTCACCTGCACAAGGGGCAAGAGTGCCGTGAGGGGCTCAGCACCCCAACTTCACCCTGTCCACCCACTGCCCCCTCCCCGGTGCTCCCCCCAGCCTCACCGCAGAGCTGCAGGATCTTGCAGTCCAGGTCGCTGTAGCTGCTGTCGGGCACCTTCTCGGGCTTGGCCAGGGAGTTCTGGGAAGAGCTGGTGGAGAGGCTGACCTGCGGCCAGGGCTGCAGCTTCTGCAGGGCTTGCAGGCGCCGGTATGCCACCAGGGTCTGCAAGGAGGGGCGTAAGGGACAAGGGACAGGGGGGCTTGGGGAAGGGGGTGGCAGGTCCCCAAGCGCCAGGTCCCACGGCCAAGCCAGGGTCACTCACGTGTCTCTCCAGCGCACGCAGGTTCTGCTCGTCAGAGTCACTCAGCTGGCCGCAGTGTACCTGGAGGGGGGGTTGTGGCATGAGGACCCAGGCGTCGGGGCCCCGTCCCTGTCCCCCAGAGCCCTGCCCACGTCCCCGCACTCACCAGGATGACACACACCACGGCCCCGCTGTCCTTGTCCACCAGTGGGATGATGAGCACTGCAAGCCGAGAGAGGGTCGGTCCTGAGTGGGCACCGGGGGCAGCGCGGGGCTGTGGCACTGAGCCCTCAGGGTGCATGTCCCCGCCATGTCCCCATGTGTCACCCACCCACCCATCATCCCATCCATCCATGTCTGTGCACCTGCCCCTCTTTCACTGGCTCATTCCTCATCCACCCATCTGTCCACCTATCCACCCACCCATCCATCTTCTCATCCACCCACCCATCCACCCCGATACCCCCCCATTCTCCCACCCACCCAGCCACCCCACCGATATGCCCCCCCCATTCCCCGCAGCCCCCACCTTGCGTGCCGGCGGCCAGGGGTGCTGCGAGGGGGCCCAGCTGCCGGCCGGGGAGCTCGGCGGGGGGCAGCCCCCCACAGTCCAGCCGCTTCTGCCTCCGCACCGCATCCCTGCAGGGATGGGGACACCCTGAGCCACCGCCCCGGGGCGGGGGGGGACGGGACGGGACCCCAACACTCGGGGAGGGCCCACACAGCACGCGTGGGCACGCGTGTCCCCCGCACACACGCAGGGCTCACCTGAGCTTCCCCTCGGGCGGCAGCTCGTGGGGGGGGTCGTCGCAGATCAGCCGGGTTTCCCCATCCAGCAGGTAGATGTAGACGTGCTCCTGGGGGGTGGGAGAGCGGGCGGTGCTGAGGGATGGGGACCCCCCGCCGGACCCTCGCCCCCATCCCACCGCGGGCTCAGTGGGCCCTTGCCCCCGCACCGCTTCCCCCAGCCCGGCTCTGCAGGGACCGGCCGGGGCGGCCCTGTGTGCCTCAGTTTCCCCAGGTGCGCGGGGCCTTCCCAGGGCAAGAGCCACGACACCCCAGGCATAAACACAC